TCTTGGAGCACTCTGTACACCTCTTGTAAGTCATTTTAGGTTTTTTGGAAGGACAGTTTCATTGTTAACATGTTCATCGGTGGTCAGTTTTGTCCAGAATCAAGAACCACAGATGCTCGCCGTCGTTCATTTTGAACATTTTCTATTAGCTGCATCCCTAAGGCTTTGAGAAAAGTACTCATCCCGTTTACGAGTGAAATTTTCTCGTATTGAATCAATATAAATATTTGTTTTGTCAACTACATGTTTTAACATACTATCTTCATCGATAAGCAATGACAAGGAATCTAAAGGTGTTGAGAACGTCTTTAGAATACTTTGTATTTCCAGGGAGTTTAGTTATAATATTTTTGGCGCCAATTCTAACATTAGTCCGGAAATTTGTTTGTTCCATTTTACTCCATTTTTTCCCAACATAAAAAACTCATTGCTACATTCTAGAGTTTCATTTTCTGTTTCTGTATCTGAATCACTACTCTCTATGGGTGAATCATGATTACTATTATATTCTTCGTCATCAACATCTTCCTCTTCTTCACTAAATGAATCCTCATCAGAAGAAACTGTTTCAAGGAGATTTCTCAATCTTTCCATCTCTTCATCGTAAAGAATATACGGCGCCATGCTTACACTTCAAGAAAAACCTATACTTAAAGCTTGAAAACGAGAAGGGCGAAGTGACTCACTGAGAAACTCGAGTACACGCACGGGTATGACATGCCCGAACAATGCTGTTCCTAAAAACCGTTGCACTTGCCACCTCAGGAATTTCCCCCATTTAAGTATGTGACCTTGAACTCAGCTACACCAAGTTTCGACCTTTTATGAAATAATGGGCGAGAAATATACAAAAAGAAAAATGCACATGGGTATGACATACCCGCCGCGTGTGCTCGCGGGTTAACATTGCTGTTGGGATGCAAATTATTAACACATAACATGCGCATTGCAGACATGGCTAAGAAAAAAATGCAGAGCACTAACGACACGTATAATATTTTGCCTGAGTGCTTCATTATGACTCTGACGAAAAAGGATCGTGCTCTTCTCGTGAAGCTTTTCTATCAGAATGGTGACTGTGAGTTAACAGCTACCAGGAAGTTCCGGACATTAAAAGGCATAAAATCAGGCCCAATGACCACATATGATCTGCAGAAAATGATAGATAAATTTAATCCTGCTGACATGGAAACATGTTATAAGGTATTTCTCCCGCTTTTCAAGCGTGCCTCCGTGGTGTAGTGGTTCTGCACGCTGGGCCGGTATTCCAGAGGTCCGTGGTTCGATTCCCGGCGAAGACGTTGCTAATTTTTCATCTCTCCGGCTTCCAAAAATTTATCTAATGACTCCACAATGTGAATCGTTTGCACTACAATTTCTAGCCGGATGGAGGTGGATAATGAATGGCCTTAAAACATTCTGTGGTCTGATGAAGCACATTTCTATTTGCAAGGTTCTGCAAATACACAAAATTTCAGGATATAGGTGACCTAGAATCCGTTCCCGCTACAGCCATTACATCTTCACTCTGAAAAGGCCACTGTGCGGTGCGGAATAACGGCAGCGTTTCGCTTCGGTTCGTTCTTCTTCGAGGAGATCGCACCTACAGATCCCGTTACCTGCGCAGTTACTGGCAAGCGGTACTTTCGCATAAACATGTCCTTCCAGCACTTCAGCAACGTCGATGTGTGGATCGCACTATATTCATGCGCGATGGTGCTCCTCCAAACATTGCTATTCGTATGAAGCTGCTGATGATCGCTCATTTCGGAGATGATAGAATCATAAGCCGCCATTTTCCAACAGCGTGGTCGTCACGCTCTCTCGACTTAAACCCGTGTGACTTTTGGCTTTTTGGCAGTCTGGCCCACTTAAAGACAAGCATCATTCACCACATTCATAGCGTCAGCACAGATACCATCTGACCTGCTGTGGAACATGCTGTTTTGCGTTCCCAGTTAGCAGCGGAACAAGGAAGAGATCATATTGAACAGCTTATGCCTTAATCCTCCGTAAGATGTCTGTTTTGTGAAGCTTCTCCTGTCACTGTCGCTGTTTTCTCTGTAACTACATATCGTTGTCTTTTCACTAATAAAATTACCGTAAACCCTTGGCGTCTATTGTTCCAGTTCGGCTATACATCCACAACAGCAATGTGAACACCGACAGCGCCATCTATCGATAAACTTTAGAACTATTTTTCCTTCGCCAAGCAAAATTCCAATACCTCAGGACTGTTCTGGTAAAATATTAAGTCATTCTGACCAGTAGTTTTAAACTTAGAGCGTTTTGAAATCGCAACTATAATTATAATCACCCTGTATTTTGAGTGCCCCCTTGCCACACTATGCAGTTAAAAACACCCATGCCTTCTTCGGGGATTCCAACTCTGGCCTTTAAGTACCACAGTCAGAGTAACTAACCACTATACCTTCTAAGCGGCTATACATATGTACACTACGCACAAAAAAAATGGAACAGTCCTATATCCCCCTTTCTACTGGGCCGATTAAAGAAATTTAAATTGCGTTTTTCATGTCTCGAAAGCGCGACTTAGTGTAAATATTAGATTTATACATAGCGTTGTTCTAATACAGGTATTTTGTTACAAAATCGGACTTTTTCTGAAATGACATGCCAGTTTTTTTTTTCCACATTTCGATTCTACGACTCCAATTGTTACTAAATGTTAAATTTTGTAACACTTCGCGAAATTTACGAAGAAATTCAAAAATTCATCTTGGCGCGTTTTTTTTTTAAATTTCAGTTTGCGCCAAGAATAATTCGCTTGGCGAACATCTTAATTTATAACAACCTATTTTCCTTCCCTTTTTAGTTCCTTGTGCGAAGTAAAAAGGAAGTATTTTACATTGTGCACGAGCGGAAAAATGATCATCTTTCATATTTTCAAATAATTTTAGCAAAGAGTGTAAGCCACATTATGGCTTATAACAAATATGCCAAACTTCAAAACGCGCCAATATGTAAATTTACTTATATCTTAGGAAATTTTGAATGAAAAACTCTAACTTTTTGCAAGTATGCTTAGAAATATATCTACTTTAAGATGATGGTAAAAATTTTATATGTTATACTTCAATTTTTTTTTTGAAAAATTTATAAAAATTATTTAAAAAAACAAATTTAAAAAAGGATCATAAAAAACGGGTGAATTTTATTTAGGAATGAAACTACATTTGGAACTGTGTAAGTAAAAAATCAAATAAGTTTATAGAAAAAGAGTTATTAATAAATGTATACCAAATTCAATTAACCCTTTCCGGCACGCTACCTTTTAAACTCAGAGTTTTGATTAAAAAAAAAAAAAAAAAGGTATGCAGTCTAATTAGGCCTAGAGGAGTACACAAGTAAAATTTTGTGAAGATAGCATTTATCGTTTATTTCTGTGGGTATGCCCGAAGAGGGCCCACTGACTGAATAGAACTTCGAAAAGAGTGCTGAAACGAGCATTGTTGTCAATGAAATGACCGATGAGATGCTGAGAAACAAAACAAAGAATACAGACTCTCAGTTGTCCTAGATTATCGGTGAGCCCGGTCTGGGCACACCTAGGGTTCGCCGTTTGATTTTAGGCAAGATTTCAAGGTAAAAATTTTAAACTAATGTAGAATAAGGAGATTAGCATACAGTCAAAAAAATAACATAGAAATTTCTTTTCAAACAATTTCTTTTATACCCTAAAAAACTCTGCAAGATTTCTTTGAAAAATGAGGGTCTTAAAAAACTAAACATGGCTAAAATATATGAACTGGTTTGTGTTGAGCTGCCATCTACCTTAAATAAAGAAGGTTCAGAGCAACCTATAGCAACCTATAAATCCTTTTTCATTCAATTTTTCTGTGCATACAGAAGGAAATTTTTAGATGTGTCCATACCGAACACACTGTGCCGCAAAGGGTTAACATGGAGAAGCTAAAATTTTGAGAGCTAATTTTTTAAAAACTACTCGTGCGACTTTTAAAAAACTTGGCACTTTTGTCATAATTTGAGTCTTTGAATGGAAATATGCAAAAGGAGGTGTATGTGAACTGCAGAAAAGTGCCCCAAGATAAATTTTAAATTTCTTACCAAATTTTACACAATTTAAGTTCGAGAATGAAATTATGGAAAAATATCGGTTTGTCATTTCAGAAAAAGCCCGATTTTATGTAAAAATACCTATATTAGAACAATGCTATATTTAAATCTAATACACATCCTACGTCGCGCTTTCCAGACATGACAAAACGAAATTTCAATTTCATCAATCGGCCCAGTAGAACGGGAGATGTAGAACCGTCCCCCCCCTTTTTTTTTCTCAGTGCAGCATGCCGCCATGCTGGGAGGTCTCTTTCCAAACCAACATAACGTCATTACATTCGCTTCGCTTTCTCTCCTACTTCTCAGTCTGGCACCTTCTGCCGGCGGCTTTATCCATTGTCATCTATCGGCGGATTACAGTATATTCACATACATTTTTTTCAGAAAATTTAAAGTCGGAAGAACGTTTTTAGAGAATATGTTTGCAAATGATGTTCAGCCTAATTATTCTGTCAGAAATATTAATCATTTCTCATCTTAGAATGCTGTTCGCTTGAGAAATTAACTGTATTCGAAGCGTAGAACTTACGTAATCAGCTGTATGAGATTTATATGTACAAAAGTATATTTTAAGGAAATGTGTGTTGTATTTACATTGCACATGAAGGAAATTATGCAGTCAATTCTTTCCAATACCAGATACTTAGCAAGCTCATATGAATACGATCAATAACTCTTTATTAGTTGCCCCTCGGTTTCAATCCTGTTTTGAGAAACTTTCCAAACTGCTTATTGTGATGCTAATAATAAATAATTTGTAATTTCTGATGAATTTGTAAAATTACTGGAATTAAAAATTTAATTTACAGTTCATTGTCTTAAATACTACTAAAGGTAATATTTGTAATTGAAATATAGCCTTTTGGGGTAATACTAGAAGCAATTTTAAAATTACGTACCTCTGCAATCATCGTCTGATGGATATGCAAATTTTCTTTGCTCATCCTCACAAACAATAATGTCGAATCCAATAGTTTTCAGCAAGTCTTCATAATAAGCAGCTTTATATTTTTGGAAATGGGAATTCGGTATGCGTTGCTCCACATTCTGTTCAGAAATGATAATTATTATCACACAATCAGTTAATTATGGTTGCAGTTTGATTTAAGATTTCTAACTCAATAGAAACTAATAATACATTATTCAATCACTTCGATACATAGCAGCTGATATGCTTGTTACTCGGGATGATTTAAATTATTTATTTTGCGATATTCTTTCTATAAAAATAAGAAGAAAAGGTATGCCTTTAAATCTCGCTTGTACACGCTGCAATGGAATTAACAATTATAAACTAAAGAGAAAGATTACAGTACTCGCTGCTTATTAGATTTAACAGTTAACAAACTCAGCCGCTTATTACGTTCAAATTTCGAGGAACCAAACCAAATACATACTAATTAATAAAAAACCACCGTTTACTAAACTCATATCCACCGCTTTTTAATCTTTTGGCAAAAATAGAAAGTGATTCTTCAGTGCCAGTATTAACATGGTCAACAGGCTCACAGGCATTCTAAACGCTTGTCTTTATAACAATTATTTTCCGCAAATCTGGAAATCTGCTAAAATGATAGTATTCCCTAAACCGGGAAAAAATCTTACGAAAACAGAAGGGTACAGGCCCATTAGCCTGTTACCCAGTATGGGTAAAATACTAGAAAGAATTATCCTTAGCCGTATTCAGCCTCACATGGATAAACTACCTCTAGAACAATTTGGTTTTAGAAAAGCACTTTCCACGACTAAACAGCTAGTTCGACTCAACGAATTCATTGGCAGTGCACTGCACAACAAGAGATATGTTGCCTTACTCATGCTAGACGTGGCGAAGGCGTTCGACCGCGTCTGGCATGAGGGGCTTATTTACAAGTTAATCAGCTTAAAGTTCAGTGATGCGCTGATTAAAATTATTTATTCTTTCCTGACAAACAGAACTTTCCACATTCAAATTGGAGAAAGTAAATCTATTACGAAAGAAGTAAAGGCCGGGGTCCCACAGGGATCTATTTTGGGGCCAGTACTCTATCTTTTTTACGTAGCAGACTTACCTGCTGAACACCTTGATCAAAACTTCTTCATGGGGTGCTATGCAGATGACACAGCTTTCGCTGTCAAGTCTGGGACACCGAATTTTGCCCTAAAGAAACTGCAGAGATTTATGCCCAAGCTGGAACATTGGTGCGCCAAATGGAAAATAGCAATCAATGCTGATAAGTCCAAACTACTAATCTTTAAGAAAAATAAGATGAATCATCCCTTGACAACACAAGCTGATACTCTTTGACACTGTAGTGCCTGTTGTCAAAAGTGCTACCTACCTCGGACTAAAATATTGTTCAAATTTCCTCTGGAAAGAACATATTAACTGCATTAGAGGAAAAACTATCGGAGTCATACGAAGTCTCACTCACGCGCTTCTGTCTGCGACTTCCAGATTAGATTTAAAGAGGAAAAGACATATATATATATCTATCATACGACCTATCTTCTTTTCATATGCCTCTCCCGCCTGGGCAACTGTTCAGAAGAAGGAGATAGACAAGTTACAAATTTTTACAAAATAAGCTCTTCGAAATGATAGCTAATGCATCAAATTAATGTACGTCAAATCACACTCTACACCGTGACTTGAAAATGGACTCCGTCGAGACGTATTTGCATAATGCTAATAACAAATTCTTTAATAAGGCTCAGGAATGTGAACACATGACTGATCTTAATGTCTTGGATTATGTGATTCTTGATGAAGATGCTTCGTTAAGACCACTCGCGGCCCACCTCGCCAGGGACTTAAATTTCCCCACGTAAGATTTTCATGACGGGTACGCACTGCTCTTGTACATATTGTATATAGTGTATTTATTTTATTTTTTATTTTTCATTTGTAATTTATATATTTCCTTTTCACGTTACAGTAGTATGTATGTAATAAAGTATGATATGTTTAATTATTATGATGTGTTTTTAAATTCAGATGTCAAGATTGAAATTGTAAGGTTTTTGTCTGTGTTTCTTTGATGTTACAACACAAACATTTCACACAGATCCTCACGGCTCCTGCTTTGCGAATTTCTTATTGTGCGCGCCTTTAAAGGCCTTGCGACGCATGGTCGCCCCCTGTAATCACCTTTGACCTCTCTAAATTTGTCAAGAAACTGCAACGTCATGTGCCCTTTGGGCTTATTTTCAAGAGCCGGACAAGTTGCGCAGCCGCGCGACATTTCGGCTATAGTCGCACAGACCAGACTAGACTAGAATCCCTAGTACCATTTATTTGAAAATATCTTTGCCTAGTGCACTTTAATGCGATCTACTGTCAAAAATTCTTTAGTAGTTAATGACCAGAAAAAAGTAAGTCATAAATCATAAGAATATCCTGTTGTAAACTATCTCTCCACGACCAACCAACTCTACCGAGTCGTAGAAACTATTGCAGAGGGAATGGCCAACAGGAAAGTGACTGGTGGTTTGTTCCTCGACATTGCCAAGGCTTTTGATCGAGTTTGGCTGTATGGCCTTACTTACAAATTACACATCCTGGGCTTCCCGGGCTACATCATAAACATTATTAATTCCTACCTAACAGGTAGACACTTTGTTGTTCACGTGTCTGGCACAAATTCCACAAGCCATGTCATCATGGCTGGTGTCCCGCAAGGATCTTTGCTCGGGCTTATACTTTTTAATATTTACGTGAATGACATACCATACCTTCCACACACGACACAGCATTAGCTATGTATGCAGACGACACAGCGGTCCTCGCACAAAGTGCATTTCCAGGTCCAGTTATACAACGACTACAAAATTACATACACACGCTAGAGATTTGGCTCTCCAAGTGGAAGATCCTAGTCAACGTTGAAAAAACAACAGCTATTATGTTTACGAAGAAGACCAACTTCAAAAAAACCTGAAGTTCTATGGCACTGATATTTCCCGGGCCAAGCAAGTCCCTTACCTTGGGGTGATCCTCAATAAGTAACTTACATGGTCCACGCACATTACATCTATTACCCAGAAGTTTCGAGTTCGTAAAGCCAAACTATACCCCTTAATTGCTCGAAACAGTATATTATCTATTGACAACGAGTTACTCATTTACAAGTCCATTCTACGTCCACTTTTGTGTTATGCAAGTCCAGTTTGGGCATATACCAAGAAAACTAATAGGAAAAGATTGCAAGTCTGCCAAAATACTGTTCTGCGAGAAATTGTAAATGCTGAATGGCGTGTAAGGAATAACAGAACACATGAAGAGTTAGGCATTCAGTTATTGAGCCCTCATTATTATAACGTAACCAAAAAATTTCATGAAAGGCAGCAAAATATTAATAATCCCAGTATTAAAATCTGTGACTACTACTATAACTATATGGATAGGCCTATGGCTCAACTAAATGTATGGATCATGTAATATGCAACTATAATTTTACTTATGTGTTTATTTATATATTTATTTTCATTCCTCTTATCTGCTACAGTTCGAATTTTCTGTCTGCATTCTCACTTTTGTGTATGTTGTAGGTACATTAACAAAATTATTTTTAAAAAAAACTATTCGACTTATCTTTCAGTTATTCTGTACCACCTTTCGAAATGATCAAACTGTTCTACAAGGGGTAGAGCCTTGGCTCAGGCACCCTGGTGTCTCAAACACCGCTCTACAGAGAGAATATCCTGTTTGTAACTGACTATCAAAGCTTCTCGCGTTTCGGTCCATTAACACTCTGAGACACTGTTTTGAGTTCTTTGTCCTCACTGGAGTTCAGAGGGGCAAACTTTCCTTAGCTTAAGCTTGGCAAAATCAATCAGCTATCTCTAAAGGTTTTTGATTGTCTAACTCCTAAGCCGAAAGTAATTAAAAGCTGTACTCCACGTAATATAAGTATAATGCAATATAATGTACACAATCAAACACTCGCAAGTAATTGTGAACTTACTTCTTTGGCGTACCCCTAAGTATCACTTTGCCTACCACTCGGGATATGTGTTTTACTCTGGAGGGTACAGAACTACGTGTTGGACTATGGTACATTTTTAAAACTACTATTGCTCTAGAGCAGTGGTTCTCAATCATTTTTGTCCCATGTTCCCTTTCACCAATGCTAGACGATCATCTTCGTTCCTTTCCCAAACTCGAAAAATATATACAAATTCAATTAAATTTAGATCATTTTTCATGTGTTTTATAAATTAAAAAGAAATAATGTAGAAAATAATTATAAGTGCCAACGCTTGAATAAAAGTAGTGTTTATTTTCATAAAATGAAACTAAATTCTTAACAGGGTAAATAAAAAGGGCTAACACCTGACCTAGAAGCATTGTACGTAACTATGAATCCCTTCTCGAATGCCAGCTGATAATTAGGTGGAAATTTTTATATGCCATCTTTTAAGGTTTCCACATTCAAAATCTTCCCTTTCAGATGGGTACATTGTGTTCACACAGAATTGTAATAAAGGTTCTGAAATGTTTCTCAGCATTACTGTATATTAGAAGTCTTTTAATGGAGAGGACGTGGTAACTGTTGACTGAAAAAAAAAAAGTAAGTAAAGCATTGGTCATGCTTGTAATCATGAAGAGGCAGGTCGACCAAACAGACAAATGGAATCTTTCCGTTGGCTATAAATGTTATAACGGCTCCTATATTTTGCTTGCATAAACTAACTAGACGATAAAAGACTGTATGGGGAATTATCCATAAGTCTTAAGTCCAGAAAAGGTTGTAAAGAACACTTTATTCTCCGTTTAAAATTTACAGATGGAACCGATTCGAGCTTACAAAAGCCAACACTTTTGGCTTAACTCAAGAGGGTAACGAGTAACCTAAAACTAAATGAAGTAAGTTTAGCTTAACAGCTTCACAGGTTACTTAACGCGCAGGCTGGCTCTGACTTGTAAAAGTCCATGTAGACAACCCTAATGGTAAGAAGCGCTCAACGCCAGAGAAATCTAATCGCTAGTAAATCAAATATAGCAACGTGGCCTTCAGGCAGGCACAACACGCTCCAAATTCACCTTCCAAAACCTTCCTTAAATA